TGTCAATATTTTCAGAATGTTTAGTATTAACATTAGTACAAATACTACTAATTGGATTAGTGCAACCCATTATATTACTTATAATGGGGTCATTTATATTATAAGCTAGTAAACTAGCTATATTTCTTATTTGTTTTTTAGGCAGATAAAATCTATCTCCAGTCATACAAAAGTTTGTAACAAATTTGTTACTATCAAAAAATAAAAAGTCATTATGACGACAAGTCATATTATAAATTAAATTATTAATATTATATATGAACTTATTTTGTTCAATAGTCAGAGAATGACAGTAAGGAAATGCACATAAAATTATTTTACCTATGCCCAGCTCAGCAATATTAAGCAAAGAGTTTACAAGTTTAATGACATGACTTTTTTTTACATTTAAACAGTTGCCTAAAGCAATGACTAATGTGGTTAACTTATCATACCTACCATTAACCACCTTATTTAAAATATTAGGCAATGAAGCACCAGGTAGACAATTATTTATAACATGTTGAGATAAACTTTCTGATAATGAACGGCCCAAACCCTTACCATATTCATCTGAATAAATAATTGTCCTTCGTACTGGTGCAACATTACAATTATCAGTTTTTAAAGACAAGTTAGAATTGAGTAAATTTGAACAAGGAGTGATTGACTCAGTCAAGACTGATGTGATTGACTTATTGTTATTTCCATTAGGGCTATATTGACAAGATTTAGGAGATTCAGGTGTCTCACAACAACATTTCTCTGTCAATGAGGTGAACCGCTCCATGTTGTAATTACCCAACTCTATTAATTTATCCAGTGATTTACTATAGTTATTAATTTCATGTTGAGCACACTCATATTTATTTGTTAAATTATATAATAAAGATTCCAACTCTTGAATTTTACTCTTTAATTTATTTTGTTCTAAATCCTTATCATGTAAATTTGTTTTACAATTTTGAAGTTCTTGTAACAGGTCTAATTTTTGTCTTCTAATATTTATAGATTTTAAACATTTAGTATGAGTTCTCACTAACTTTTCTGACTTTTTAATAAATTTGTTTATTTTTATATATTTTTTTAATTTATTGACACTATTAAATTGACTAGTACAACTATTTGAGCTGGGTGTATTTGTTAAATCTATGGTCACCAACGGCTGAGTAGACTTTTGATCACAAGTGACATTTAACAATTCTGTATACAGATCTAAGGTGTTATTATAGCTACTCACCCGTTTGTGTTCCAACATAGATTCACTATGTGCTTGAGCTTCCTTAAGGTGTCTCTCGAGGTGAGTGATACGCTGTAGATTTGACTCATATGTGTCCCTGCAGTGATCATATTCATTAACAATTTCCTGAAGTCTATCCCTGTCAACGCGTAGGTCTTCACAGAATACATTAATGTTTACAAGTTCCCCCTTCAGGGCCACATATTTGTCAAATAGAGATTTCATCTCTATTTCACTATCATCCCGTTCCTGTAACAATACTTTATTCAAGTCTTGGGTTTTCTTTAATTCAACGAGTGCCACCTTAAGTTTAGCATCAAGATCACAGGCTTAAAAGATTTTTTCATTTGAATTTGAAACCATTACACTAAGTTTTAATCCACATTGATTATGTGTTGTAATGTGTGTATATTGTTGTTTATTTTTTTTTTGTTTTAATATTATTATATGTGTCAATTATTACATTCTAAATAGATATACAAAATCATTTATTTACTAAACATTCTTGTTTACCGTAAAATCATTTTTCCAAAAACAAGTTTTTAAAAGCTTATAAAAAACTTGTGATTGCTAATTCTTTAAAGTATGGTAAATTATTACATATATATGCCATTACTAAATAACATTTTTTTTTCATACAATGTGATTCTACAAAGGGGCAACAATAAACGTATTAGGTTTCTAGATTTATGTCTGCTATTGATATCAGTCGTAGTATAGAATTCCACATAACTCTTAACGAAGATTTCAGTCTCAAGTATATATACATCGAAGCTGAGACATATAAGTTATGGATATCACGTTATCATGTGACACTCGTAGTATCACATATTTCAAAGACTAAGATGTGAAAATTATAGGAGAAGAGGCATTTTTGAATTGTGGTACTTTACTAAATGCAAAAGGCATTTCCTGTAATTTCCCTATCATATCTTACACTTTAACCATAACACAGCATACAAAACAATTTGCTGTCAGTTTGTTAGTCATTAAAATTACATACACAAAGAAACAAAATTAACTAGTAAATTTTTTTATAGCATAGGAGACAAACTGGATTACAGCTCACTTGGTAGTAAAAGATTATCACCACCCATGAGCACCCAACACCAAGAGAATTGCAAGTGCGATGCCGGTCTTTTAAGAAGCAACAAGCACTTTTCTTGAATGTTTCAATCGTATAGTTTCAGAAATATCATTGCTGAAAGATGATTCTACAATGTCAATCACTTTGTAGATTTGCGTAGCAAAAAGTTTCTGGAAAAACGCACTGTGGAGAACCGGCAAAATATCAAATATTTAATAATCACACACCTCGTTACAAAAAAAAATTCCTCTAAGATCATACGATAACATACCTTGCATCGAATAACGTGATAACTGCGAACAGGGATGAATGGAAGAGAATATATATTACGCCTATATAACATATTACGCCGACCACAAATAAATGGGATAAGGAAGAAGCAGATGATGACGATGCATACAAAACACATTCAGTAAAAAAATATCTTATACACACGCCTGTATACTCTATTCTTTATTTTTAATAATGAGTATGATTGTTTGTATAGATCGGTCATGTATGTATTTACAAAAATATATGTCAGTTGTCAAGGACCCATAACACAAGCTCTAGTTGGCTTAACTTGGGTCTAGATGACGCTGTGTAAATTGTTCTGAAATTACTATTATTATTATTATTCATTAAGCTTAATATTATATATACTATATGTAATTTTCAAGTACAAGTATAGTACTATATCTTTGTTTCTATTAATACTTTTCCAATACTTCACAAGGCACAAAGTTTTTCGATCAGTACAAAATTATCGATAGAACTTTAATTAATATATCGTACTAATTAACGAAGTCGATACATCAATTAACTAAAACAATGGACCAGTAGACTATTAATTAACTAGTTAAAAGACATCGCAATGTAAATCCCGGTACAGCTCGCATTCCGGAACAAATTTCCGCACAATCTACTCTTCTCTACAAATTCTGTACCGCCCTTCTGAATGAATAAGTTTCGTACAATGGCGAGCCGAATTAGTTATACATTATTAATTTTATTGGATTATTTTAATTGTGTTGTCATAATGTATTTTTTTTAATATATTAATTTGACGGCCTCGGTGGTCCTGCGTCTAGCACACTGCTTTACTTCCGATGGTCGCAGGTTGTTGGATTCCTCAGGTTGCAGGATGTTCAATTCCTCGCACAGTACAAACATTTATATTCATGGTATGATTGTTTATAATAGTCTGGATTGGATATTTTATATTTTATCTGGTTTCTATATATTATCTGTGTATTTATATAAAAAAATATCGAAGCATTTATATCAGTTGCTTAGTACCCATTACACATGCTCTGCTTACTTTACCGTGGGGCTAGATGGAGCTGTGTGAATTGTCCAGGATTATTTATTATTTAAACAATTATTACAATGTTTGTAAAACGTTTTGTATTGTAACTTGAAATTATCCAAAATTCTTTCATATTATTTGAACATTGAGAGAATCATTATATTAATACGTGAAGCAGGAACTTTATACCCCTGTTTAAGAAAATTGCGTATGGAGTATGAAATTTCGCACACTTACAGAGAATTAGTGCAGAATTATTATATTTTTTTTTTAAATTATGCATAAAACACATTATATCAATAAAAATAACATAACGCGTACGCAAGGTAGTACAGTCTTTAATAATTTAACCTTAATATTGTTTAAACTTATAATTTAAAGTCGAATTTCTACCTTTGGGCGACTACTAGTAACATTTATTATATGGAATATCTTACTAGTTACAAAATCTTTTACAGTCTGTAAATATTTTTTGTATAGTTTTCCTTGCACGGATGTGCACTCTCTAATGTTCAGTACCACAAAACATTGGATCCGGGATCTAGACTAAACTTTAAAAGCCGAGACGCGTTTCGCTCGCTGAAACATTTTTATTTTATAAATTTTTATTCACCGAAATAGCAAAATTCTATTAATGCGGTAAATGTGAAAGTTTGCAAAGATCTTTGGATATTTGTTAGTGAATTGGATTTTAATAGACAGACGGATATGTAGGAAATTCAGATCTCCGATTAATATATAGCATATGGACGGCTTTGGGGGTTTGATGGTTTGATGATTTTACATCCAATGGTCGCGGGTTTTATTACCAACTACGTCACAGCGTCAGGTTGCCTAAAAGGCATCTTTATCCGAGATAAGCCCTTCCTTGTGTTCGAGCGCTATCGAACATGAACAGCCGCTAGGCCGGGTCACCTGTCACTTTGCCTTGCGCCTACGACGTCGACGCACGCGTACCTTATTAATTAGACAATTAAAGTGCCTTGTATTAAATATAATAATTCACAGTCCAATACTTATTTTATTTTTTTAATTCATCGACACTTGCTTATTATTTTTAATATTCAACTTTAAGTTACAAGTGCAATAAAGAGTATTTATTATTATTTTTAGTTAATAACATTAATAAATCTGTTATATATATATCACTTGTGGTATTTTAGATAACAATACATGAGCTTAGGATTACAGTAGTGAGCAGGTTAGTTCTCGGTGTGAAAGTTTATGATAGTGGAAGGAATTCTCCTCCCACTATCATATCATTGGACACAATGCGAGAGAGAGTGGTGAGACAGTCTTAACTCATAGATAGGCTGGGAGTTAGAATTTCGTTCCGTGTTAAAACTCAAAGGCCCACGACAATCTATATCTACAAATAGGTGTAATAAACCGTCTACATTACTTACCATAATTCCCTTTATTGCGCGGTGTGTCTGGACTAATCCCGGGGGAGAGGAAAGATGACGCGGCATCCTTTGTAGCGCTGAAACAGAGGTATTAAATTTTATAAATGTTTTAAGAAATTTACATTTTTATTAAGCGCTAATTCATATCGTTTTCATTCATATTTTTACTGTACTTATTAAATACGACATTTCTTTTTCTTTAGTTAGAACTGTATCTATTTGGTTTCTTATAAGGTATAGTTTTTATATGTATACTATCTGTTCTCGTGACTTCGTCCGCGTGGAATGTAACTTTATTTTTATAAAATAAAAGTATCCTTATTACATCAGCTACATGGCAAAAAAAGTCCCGTCGAAATCGGTCCAGCCATTTCAGAGATTAGCCGGAACAAACAGACAGACAGAGATACAGACAAAAATAAAAAAAAATATTTATATATTTTGGTGTATGTTCCATATTTATATTCATATACATGTAGTAAAAAACGGTTATTTCAATATTACAAATAGACACTCCAATTTTATTTATACGTATAGATTAAAGACTAGGGCTAGCCTTATAGTCATTGACCCGAGTAATATGTGCCATCAAAAAAGCCCATTGTGTTCATAGTAATTTATATTAAATGATTGTTGACATATTAATATTGGGTTTGGACTATTGTTAGGTGCTTGGCCCTGTAGCTCTGCGACTTACATAGATCTATTGTACTCGCCCTTTTTTCAGATTTCACTACCTAGACCCGTCAGGGACAAGAATTGAAGGATTCTTAAGAGTGATGGTTTTATCTCCTCAAGATAGAATGTAAACTTTCTAAAGGATTATTACCTTTAGGCATGAGTGGACTATAACCACATAATATGTTTAGTGGCGTTTCTACTTCAATTTGGCAATATCTGCAGATTACCATATTAATTGTTGACAGAACAAAATGGCGAAAAGACCGTCATGTATGCGCGGCAGGGCACCAGTTCAGAATTACGGGACAAGAATAAGACTTCGAACCGTCTGGCAAGAATCGGGGACTCTAGAACCGTCTGGCAGAGTATCAGATATAAAAAACAGGACGTAAATAAAGTCTGGTCAATTAGTCCCATAATGCCAAATTCTCCAGAAATAGACCACTATGGTAGACCGCGTGGAAGTCAACCTGATATGGTACCATAGGGACCAACTACCATTGGGGACACCAATTCCCATTACTAACAATTCCTTCTCCCCTCAAGATATATTTAATGTGCGCATAAAATACACAACAATCTTGTATTTCAAGGTAATTTAATTCACGCCCCATATATACAGACAGTAGCCGTAATAAACAAAATGCCAGGGATTTAATAACGCAACTGTATAACGTTTTGACACTTCACAATGTTGTTACTTTGTCGGTTTCACTCATAAAATGTATAGGTTCGTGGTACAATGAGAGCGGATGCATATATTGGAGTTTTTTTTCTTTCCAATTGTTAATAAAAATATGAAATAAATGTAATGATTGAAAATGAAACGAAATGAATTAAATGAAATGATTTTAATTTCATTTCATATTGATGATTGGATTTAGTTGGTAATTACACATGTAATAGTCAATAAAATTTCTATTATTGAAATAAATGAAATGATTTTCATTTCATTTCATAGTGATGATTATAATTAGTTGGTAATTACACATGGAATAGTCAAAGAAAATGACTATTATTCACATGGTAGTAAAGTCACCAACTTATCAATACCGCGTACCATTCCATAATTATCACGTCAGAGCAAAAACCCACCACCATCTCACCTCGAGCTAGTAAGCACATTGTCTTTTGATTGTAGAGTGAAGATTAGGTAGTGAAATTACAGGATAAGATAACATATGTCTTTGTCCTCTGAAATGGCAACACATTTGGTTGACTGACCGCCAGTTTGTTCGTCATTCATTCAAATGAAAAAAAAGGGGACTGCAACCATATATTATATTTAGAAGCATAAAGGAAAACATAAAGGGAAACCGCGTTCCATCTCTCATTGTGCTACCAGCGTTATCTGGCACGTACATAAAACTTTAAAGGCAATAAAAAGAGATCTCGGAAACGGTTGATAAGCGCTTTTTTATTTGACTGTCCGACTTCACCTCCATTTTCTACTATTTCTCCAATCATTCTAGCTGTTTGTGATAGCAATTTTATAACGAATATAGAGAATTTATAGTCACAGTGTTAACTTCTATTCTAGGGTTTGTATATAAAGTAGAACCCTATGGTTTTAGTATAATGTTATATATGTGAGATTTTTTTCTTATGTAATGATTATACCATTTGCGGGTTGCGGATAATAACTAGTAGAGAAGGGCTGAAGATCGTGCCCAATGACATACCTTGGAAGATGCCTATATTCACCAGTGGACTGCAGTAAGCTGATGATGATGCTATTGTAATTATATAACCAATTACTTCTATTCTAGAGTTTGCATATAAAGTAGAATCCCATGGTCTTAATATAATCTTATATATGTCAGATCCTATTCTGTATTCTTTTTATTTTCTTCTTTCGTACCGATTATGACACTGCGGGTAGAAACTGGATGAGAAGGACTGAAGATCGTGTCCAGGCGTGCCTTGGGAGAGGCCTATGTTCAGCAGTAGAGTGCAAACGGTTGATGATAATGATGTAATTATAAAACCAATGCACCCTGATAAAGCTAAAAATGATGCTAATTATATAACCAATGCAACTTGGTACATAAAAATAAGTAGAAATGAATAAACTCACCTTATAGCTTGCTTGTTTATAATTCTGTGGCAGTCCTGGTTTCCGTTTCTACATGTTAATTCATTGGCAGCGACTGTAAGAGAAAACATTAAATGTTTTAGTTTTTTAACACAGACAGTAATAACTACAATAGTTTTAGAAATGGAAAGACTGTCTACAGTGACAGGATTACGAGCTGTTTTAAACTTTATGTTTAGTAAAGTTTAGTTTAGTTTCTAACAACCGCAAATATCACTAGAATATTTGTGTGGCAATTTTGTTGCTAATGGATTTATATTATTTTGTTGAATTCCGCTACCACTAGCATGAGTAAGGCAACAAATATTCAAACCTAACCATCACTACGGGAATCATTACGACCTTCTCTATTGGTGAATAAATTATTACCGTTACTGAGTCTACACCCATATTGCGACACGTGTTTCGCCTCTGAATGAGGCATTATCGAGCATTAAATAGAGTTCGGGATATAGCTTTAAACCCTAGTGTTAAACTAACTACTACTAAACTGCGTCAATTTGTATTTCTGACTGACACTTAAATATCTATATTCATAAATGTGAGTCAGTCGGAAAATACCACAGGTACTAACCTCTGGTTTAGGTATTATGAACTTTATACTTTATTTTTTTTTATATGAATAGAACAATAAGTATGTTGACCGCATCTGGTGGTAAGCAGTAACTGTCACCTGTATACATGAACAGCCAGATATCACGTTATTATGTCACTCTAAGATTCCACTTATGCGTTGCCAGTCCAGTCGACATGCCTTTAATCCTGTAATATCACTGCCTAATCTGCAGTCTACAACCGAAACACAGCTTACAGAGCAAGCTGCTTAGCTGGAATAGGTGAGGCTACGGTATATATATAGATGACTTATAATAATGGTAATCATTTATTCAGCACAGTACAGTGTGGAAAATATAAAAACTAAAATTGCGCAATAAGACTCCACTCAGTTGGCGCCGCAGCGTGTCACTGCAGCGCTGATTTTCAATTAGTTTTCCTTTGTTATATTTAATAATTAATCTTTATATATAAAAATTACGTGTTACGTTGTTTGTCCGAGATGGACTCCTAAACTACTGAACCGATTCCAAATTTGATTTGCGCATAGTGTGCAACTTGATCTAACTTGAAAGATAGGATAGCCTATATCTCAATTTATAGTCGCAATATTATTTTATTCAAGAACCTTAGCCACAGCAACGTGTGGCTAGTGCTGCTAGTGTATGTACTATAAAATATGTTTATTACGGGATGAATGACCCATTTGTTAGTATTTTTTTCTAATCTAATGTCAGTAAAATTCTTAACTATTTAGAACATAAACACTAACGTAGCTATACTTTGCTAGACCTCTAACAAGTACACTAACAAAATGTCTACCATTGTAAGTTCAAATTTTTTCATTAAAATTTTCAGAATGTTGTTGGAGCTACAACAATCTGTTGAATAACGATGAAGTTTTTTTCTGACCATGGCACAAAAGGGAAAGATTAAAAAGGTGTTAATTGTTGTTTGTTTAATTAAATTTATATCGTTATCTCCGAGTCTATTTGAATCAAACAAAGTAGTAATGAAAGCACATAATAATATCTTTATTGCTTGACCTATAAAATGTAGTCAATCGTTGCTCCCGCAAACGTAAAGTAATTAAACTTTACAACGCGTAAGATAAATTAAACGTTTACGACATGCAGTTAAACGACACTCTAAAGGTAGCAATTTGAATTGTATTAGAATTAGTTTTATTTCATAACAATGTTTCTATCACCAGAAAGTCAGACAGATAGGGATTGGTCTGTTCGAGTTACTTACGGTCACTGATTAGATTATTTTCTTTTAACAGAAATACAATAGTATATGCTAGTGGCCACTAGGTTCTCCCTAATTGGATTTTAAATAAATCTGCATTTTTGTAATCATGTACCAGGTCATTTGAAAATAATACAAGCTGTGTTTCTGTCAGTTCTTCTTATCTTGAAATCACTCCGAACTTACAGTAGAATTGACTTATAATAAGAGTGTGTTATAGACTTGTATGAATAAAGATATTTTGATTTTGATATTTTTAAATATGGATAGATGCAGTTTTTTTATGTCAGTTAGATATAGATTCAAGCCCGATATCTTCATATCTAGCGTTTTTTAAATAAAGACTACGATAAAATATTACGATTTTCCTTTGTTTTTTAACACTAAAACCGGAGAAATCTCTAAAATTGCATTGGACAATCTCAATCCTATTTACGTAAATAGCATATTGTGGATTATATATTAAACATGACGGTGGTTTAGTGGCTTAGTACACCGCCGTACCTACGATAGTCGCGGGTTCGATTCCACGATGAATATCTGTTTTCATGAGTATGATTGTTTGTATTGATCTGGGTGTTCTATGAATATTATGTATATATAAAAAAACTAATATATTTAAGTATTTCTATTAATTGTTTAGTATCCATAACACAACCTTTTTTGAGTTTGTGACCTAGATATTGCTGTGTGAATTGTATAGGGTTATTATTATTAATATATTTAGCTCTTTCTTGCTTGCTTTAGTTATTTTAATGTTTGTTTATCACATGATATGTTCATAATTTCGTGCCCAAAATGTTGAAGCTTTAATATTAGAAGCTCTATTACGTAGAATATGAACTTTTATAACAGCAACCTTCATGTATGTCATATATTATTAAACATGCTTGCTAATCCTCTTTCGGTGAAATGGACCAGAAAAAAGTCGCTTTTATCAAACGTCTAATGTTTATAAACACAAGAAACTTCATATATGTTACATCAGGTCTACCCAAGCTGTAGTTACAGGGCCTGTAAAAGTTAACAGAAGTTTTTAAATTATGTAATGTATTATTATAATAGATTTAACACTGTATAATAGTAACACTATCTGATATGAGAGAATGTTTTTAAATCATCCAAGTAATTGTTTAATTCATCTATTACCATACAAAGAGGTGGTTTGCGATGGTATAATTCCTAGAGGTATGAACAAAGTCAGATGCGTTTTTTTTTAAATCAGACGTAGATGTGTTTAAATCTAATATATTATAGACACTTTCTGATAACGTATCGTTCTATAATTGAATGTTTTTAGATCGCTCAAGTGATTTTTTTATTCATCTATTACCGTCAAAAATAGGAGGTCTGTAGCGGTATAATTCCTAGGAGAATGAACAGATTTAGATTTTTTTTTGTTTATAGCTGACCAATTATTATATTAATTAATTTTTATTGTTAATTACTGTGCCTTGTGTATGTATGTCTTTATCGTAAATAAAATTTTTATCTATCTATCTACCTAATAGACATTGTTCTTATAATATAAAATCAAGTAACCCTCCCGAATAAAAGAACTGCAATAAATCAACTACAATTTATTACAGTCCTTCCATATATCTTATATTTAGTTTTATATTTATTACAGATACATTTTTATGTGTCTAAAATGGTAAAGACTTTTATGGGTAGTCAGTATTTTTGCCATTTAATGTAATATACTAAATATCGCCAACTTGGTAAAGTGGGGTGCTGCTTCAAGGGAGGCTGGTGACTACAGAGCGCCATCTTAGACTATGGCACACCTGCTGACTTGTCCTTTGTGCCCAGCATCCTGCACAAAGGGGGACCTAAGGGATGCGACGGAGTGCGCAAGGGTTGTCGCGGCGTTCTGGGGAAAATATATTCAAATATATGTATTTAGTTGCCGTTGAAACGAAGAAGAAGACTAAATATCACCTATACATGACCAGCTACAATAGAATTTATCTTTATCAGTACAAGAATGCTGCATTAGCACGACTGATGGAAGTTCTATTGTCGCGAAAGCAAACGCTGTCTTATAAATCTCACAAGGAATTTAATCGGAAAGTAGAACAGAAGTACAAACACTTTGTTTTATTTCTTTTAACTGGTGTTCAAATAAAGGAGTAAGTAGTAAGTAGCGAATATCGAGTCGACTATATGAACTAGTTTGTTCATGTGCTGCCATACTTCCAGACTACGACGATAAAACTAATGTTTGCGATCGCAAATAGCCCTTTACTTTATTTAAAAATAAAATTTCAAATTTCAAATTTCGAACGTCAGGCACAGAACATCTATGATATTTTAATTACAATTTTGCACTCCTTCTCGAACATTCCGTGGCGTCACTATTAAAATCAACGTACAATACAATCTATGTAAATATTCTTTTTATTTAAATTTAAAACATATCAACCACCAATATTCCTCCAGCAAACAACTAAGTTACAGCGATTCACGCGTCTTTAATAATATTATAAATGTGTATATAATAATAATATTTCAGGACAATTCACACAGCGCCATCTAGTCCCAAGCTAAGCAGAGCTTGTGTTATGGGTACTAGACAACTGATATATGAATAATTTTTTTTGTAAATAAATACATATTATACATAGAAAACACCCAGACCGATACAAACAATCATACTCATGAATACAAATGTTTGTACCGTGCGAGGAATCGAACCCACGACCATCGGATAATAAAGCGGTGTGCTAAACCGTTAGACCATCGAGGCCGTCATAGATAGATGAAGAAAAGTTAATTTTTAATTAATTATTTGTTAATTTTAAACACGTATTTGAATTTCCTTTATTTACATAGATTGTCAGTTAATTACAAAAGTAGTAATGGATATATCAGAATATATTGCGGGCCGTGATTGCGGCCCTTACTTTCAGCAGGACTGCGTTAGATCGAGCGAAAGCAACGCGTCATTAGCCTAATGTACAAGAAACCGCATAGGTACCGTGTTTAGTTTTTTTTACGCGATGGAAAAAGTATTTGCGGGTAAATCTCTTATATTTTGCTGGTTATTAAGTTTTTCTTGCATGAATTTCGCTTCCGATGTGCGTGTAAGCGTATTTATTGATTGTTGGATGCTGCAGTGTTTGACACTCGATCATTTATATTATTATGTTCTGATATATTAAAATAACTCATAAGAGTTCCTTTAATAATAATATCCTAGTGCCAAACTAAGCAGAACTTGTGTTATGGGTAGTAGATAACTGATAT